TAGTCCATAAGGATATCTATGGAATGGATTTGGATAGCCTTAAGTGAAGATTATCCAATTAGGGTTTAGGGTGAAACCCTTAAGGAGTCTAAAGGTATAAATAGGCCCTTGGGGTGTGGAATTCGTGTACAATCTTTCAGAACCTAAAGCAAGGAACCTCTGGCCGAATTCCATCCCCTCTCCTCTCTCCTAAATCATCTTGCTTGCTATTGGTGTTTGTAAGCCATTAGAGGAGTGACAATTGTGACTCTAGAAGCTCCAAGACAAGAAGATCAACAAGGAACTCAAATGTATGATTCTAGATCTGTATTAATGTTATTGTTTAACCTAATTAGCCATTAGAAGTCTTGGATTCAAAAGCATGTTTGATAGAATGCCTAGATCTAAGCAATAGGGTTTTGCATGCGCACATAGGAAAGTTCTTATGGCTAAAACCCAACAGAACATGAATATGAATACAATCAAAAATTACATTTAAAACTTTGTAATTTTGATAACTAGTTGTTGTAAATGAATTAGTAAAGACATTACACCACCAAAAACAAGTTTTCAATTACCAAAACAGTTTAGGGTAATGTTTCTAATTCATTTCCAGCAACTGAATCGAAATTCTGCAATCAGTTGACCCTACTCGCTGAGTGCATGAACTTACTCGTCGAGTTGGTTGAAGATACTCATGAACTCGACGAGTCCCCCCTATAGACTCGACGAGTCCATTCGCAGACAGCAAGATTTCCGATTCTGTTTTCAACTTTTAAGCACAAATAAGAGCAAACAAGCCTAGGCTCTGATACCACTGATGGGTTTTGAGCATTCTAACACTTCCTAAGTGTACATGCAACCCTAATAACCTTGGATCTATGTTTGTCTAATTATCATGCAAAGTTGAATTCCAAGGTTATATTCCTATCTAGCATATGTGGGGAACAATTTTATCTTAAAGTATAGATAGAATAACTTACCTTGTTGTTGTTTGTGTTCCATGAAACCTTGTGAGCCTAGCACCCCAAGTGTGATGCCTCAAATGCTTCACACAACACCAAATGCTCTTGGAAGAACTTATGAGAGTATACACACTTCTCAAAATCGGCCAAGCCCTCTTGTTTCTTAGTGTAGCCGATTTTGGGTGGAGAACATGTTACTTATATAGTGTTGACACATCTAGGGTTAAACCCTAATGTGTCATGACTCTTCATTTCCATGACCCATGGGTTTGTAACTCCCATGGAGCATCCATGGAGCATCCTATGGGTGGAACCCAACTTGATAGTCCATGGAGCCTTTTAGCCCACTATACAATATATGGATGATTTACATAATCAACCCACATATTTAATTAGTTATCTTTTGATCACTTAATTAATTCTAAATTAATCTTGATCAAACTAATCAAATAATATTGATTAATATATTAGAACTTATAATATATTAATAATCTCCAAGTGTTATTTCTCTCATTTAGTCTATCCAATTGCATGGTGCCATGCAACCCAAATGGACCATGTCGGGTCGGGTCAAGTACATACCAGAAATAGTTATGGACTTAGACACCTTATCCAACATGAACATGAGGCAGCTTCGGTGGCTTGATGTGGTAAAGGATTATGATTGTGAGATCCTCTACCACCCGGGGAAGGCCAATATCATGTCCAACGCGCTTAACCACAAGGAAGTGCGGATTGGGGACGTCTGTACGAGGATGATAGTTGTGACTCCGCTGTTAGAGAAAGTTCGAGAGGCCTAGTAAGAGGCCTGGAAGGAGGAACATCAAAAGAACAAGCGAATTTTTGCTCAGGTTTCCTCCATTGATTATGATAGTCGGGGATTGTTGACTCTTCATTATAGGGTATGGGACCCATATCATGGGGGTGTGTGCCATATATTGATGGAGGAGGCGCACAGATCCCGATTTTCTATCCATCCCGAGGTGACGAAGAGATACATGGATCTTCGTCTTGATTATTGGTGGCCCTGTATGAAGACGGATGTAGCATGGATTGTGGAGAGGTTCCTAACCTGCAAGAAGGTCAATGCTGAGCACTAGAGACCTCATGGCAAGATCCAAATGTTGGACATCCCATTGTGGAAGTGGGAGGATATTACTATGGATTTTATCACGAAGCTTCCAAGAACCACACATGGAGTGGATTCGATTTGGGTCATTGTTCATAGGTTGACCAAGATCACCCATTTTATTCCGATTAACGAGAGCATTTCGGCTGAAAAGTTGGCCGACATATATATACGAAAGGTAGTGGCGAGACATGGGGTGCCAGTTTCAGTGATTTCCAAAAGGGATGTGCGGTTCACTTCCAGGTTTTGGAAGCAGTTTCATGACAATCTGGGTACTTGCTTGCATTTTATCACCGCCTTTCACCTGCAGACGGATGGTCAGAGCGAGTGGACCATCTAGACTTTGGGGGATGTGCTACGGGTGTGTGTTTTAGACTTTGGAGGTAGCTGGGATACCTATCTTCCATTGGCAGAGTTCTCCTATAATAATAGGTATCATGCAAGTATCAACCGTCCTCCTTTCAAGATGTTGTATGAGAGGAAGTACAGGACTCCGATATGTTAGGGTGAGGTTGGTTAGAGAGTCATCGGATGTACCAAAGTGGTAGTCAAAACTATGGATAAGATCCAACAGGTTCGGAGTAGTCTTCAGACTGCTCAGGGTTTGCAGAAAAGTTATGCCAACAAGCATCGATCGGACCTGGAGTTTAGGTCGGGGATGTGGTGCTCCTTAAGGTTTCGCTATGGAAGGGCATCATTTGATTCAGGAAGCGGGGAAAGCTGGGCCCTATGTATATTGGACCCTTCAGGGTTGTAGCCCAGGTGGGCATGGTTTCATATAGGCTTAGATCTTCTAGTCGAACTCATACATATTCATAACACTTTTCACGTCTCCCAGTTGCGGAAGTGTCTAGTGGAAAATTTGGCGGTGGATGCTTTGGACGATATTCAGGTTGGTGACAACTTGAACAACATCGAGAGGCCAATGGTTATCCTTGACAGGATGTCAAAGGATCTAACGAACAAGAGAGTGGAGCTAGTAAAGGTGCACTGGCAGCACCGCAAGCGCTTGGAATGAACCTGGGAGCCAGTGGACAAGATGAGGGAGCACTACCCCAAGCTTGTCCAGGACCGAACAACAAACTTTGAGGACGAAGTCTAAAATAAGTGGGGGAGATTTGTAACACCTGATTCCTTGTAGGCATCTAATTCAAGCATTTTTGTGTTTTTCTCTGGGACTCGACGAGTTAGATGCCCAAATCGTCGAGTAGAGTCAAGATCCGTGGACAGTTTAAGTGACCTACTCGATGATTCGGGAGACTGACTAGGCGAGTAGGTGTTGTTTGAGTGAAACACTAAATTTGAGGGTTTGCACCCTACTTAAACACCTTATCTTAGTCTCCACAGTCCCTATCACTCCTAGAAATTTGTATATCGATACCCTAGTCGTCTTTGTGTGTTCTAAGACCCTTTTGGTGCATTTGGTGGATTGTGTAGCTTGAGAAGAAGAAAGAAGCTTGAGTGTTCGAGTTGAGAATTGGAGATCCAGAGGTTTTGTTCAATTTTTAACTTATTCAAGGTAAAATTCCCCAGTCTTGGTCTTTCATGTGCTTAATCATCCTTAGGGCTTGGATTTTGAGTATCTTTAGGGCTTTCTAATCCATTTTTGGATTTGTGAAGGGTTATATGGAGTTTTGAATTCAGATTTAGGTCATTGGAGGTTTGTCATGGCATAAAGGTGCTAACTCTATGGCCATGAGATCCCGATGCACTTTGTAGAACATCTATTATGGATTTTTGAGCCAAAGACCCCTTGCATGTGCACCAAGCTTGGAGCTTTATGTGTAAAATGGAATTAGGAGGCCAGATCTATGGTTTTGTTGTGTTAAGGCCCATTTAAATTGGCTATATAGTAATGATAAATGATGGACTCGGCGAGCTGTTCTTGGGATTCGGCGTGTCGTTTGTGATGAACACCAAATTCTTTCTGTCGATGGACCAGTTGATATTGTAGAGGGTCCGTCAGTTGTTTAGGTTCATAAGGGAACTGACAATCATGGGACTCGACGGGTGTTCGAGCAAACCCGGTGACTCCAAGGCAATCTCCAAATCTTTGAAGTTGAACTCGACGAGTTGTTCAAACAAATCGACGAGTCATACACTGGACACATTCTTTTGCTAAAGATGAACTCTACGAGTTTAAGAAAGAGCTCACCGAGCCGATTGAAGATTGACTGAAGTGTTGTTGAAGATGAACTCATCAAGCTCTTGCTAGACTCGACGAGTGGGGATGTAAGCCCCAATCCATAGATCCAAATATTTAATTAGTGAATTGAAAACAATCAAACAGAGTGTAGAAGGAGTAGAAGAAGAATAAAGTCAAGCATGCACAAATCTATAATGTATAAATGTCAGGTACACCTTGAAAAGTAGACATACATACGTCACTGTTTCTGACACACTGACACAACCTATTTATACCATAATTACCAGCAGACAAGTGTGCAACCGGACACACGTGTATGGCCGCACACACCCATTAACATGCAATGATCACCACAACACACTCTAATTATCCTACCAAGACCTATACATTATGATGCCTAGCCCAAATCACAAAAATATAGCGTATCAATCTCCCCCTTTGTTTATGGATAGCATAGAGATCGTCTTCATTCTCCAGGTTTTTCGAACAGCTTCTAGTCAGATTTTCCCATGCATGGATCCCATCCATAATTTTCCATTGCTGATTGTGGCGACCATCCCAGTGAATTCCTTGGTAGCAGCCTCCATGACTTCTTTTCTGCAAATGATTTGGTTACGAGCCAAGGTACGAATGTCTCTTTCTCATAATCTGAGAAGATCTTTTGCACAAATAAGTCTCAATACTGTTTCTTTATTCTTGAACTTAATGGCAGCAGTGGCAGTTTCATCATCATATGCCCAAAATTCCATGCTGTCAAGATATCCTTCATGAAAGTTGGTCTTCATTCTCCAGGTTTTTCGAACAGCTTCAGGTCAGATTTTCCCATGCATGGATCCCATCCATAATTTTCCATTGATGATTGTGGCGACCATCCCAGTGAATTCCTTGGTAGCAGCCTCCATGACTTCTGTTTAGCAAATGATTTGGTGACGAGCCAAGGTACGAATGTCTCTTTCTCATAATCTGAGAAGATCTTTTGCACAAATAAGTCTCAATATTGTTTCTTTATTCTTGAACTTAATGGAAGCAATGGCAGTTTCATCATCATATGCCCAAAATTCCATGCTGTCAAGATATCCTTCATGAAAGTGCTAAGGGATAGGAATTTCATTCAGTTGTTTTTTGTTGGGCACAATATGATCTTCATTGGCTCACTAGATTTAGGATTGAGAACATCCGCATCTTTTCTATAGAGGGCTTTTGCAGTTTTCATCTTTGAGAAGTTCTCCTTGACCTGCCTGTCTAGAAATCATTTGAAGTTGTACGCACTGGGATCCTGTGAAGGATTGTGACAATTGTTGTGGTGACAATTGATGAGACCGGTGGTGCTTGGCTTTGAATGAAAACTCCCTGCCTCGGAGAAGGCAGAGAGGTTTGTGGCTGTGTCATTTCACTCAGAAATGGAACAGAAGTAGAGAAATTAGTATCAAGGGGAGGAATCCATGAAACCACATCTCTTATTCTTGATGAATCTTCCATTGGTTTTGAAGAAGAAAGCATAATCTTGAGAGCGTTAACATCGTCCCCGGTCTTAGTTGCTGGTTGAAAAAATTCATTGACCTTTTTAAGGTGACAGTCATCTAATCCTGACAATAGACCAAAATCATCATCATCTAGATTAAGATCAAGACATGAAGGAATGTCGTCATTATTGATACAAGTAAAATCCAAATCTTTTAAGAAATCATCATCTGCATTTAAATCCTCATCACCTTGATCAATGTGTCCCTTAACATCCACAATATGAAGCTGGTTATGTTCCTCAACCACAATTACCACTGGGAAATCATGACCTTCTTCATTCTAAGGCTCTGAAACTGAGATAATGACATCCTCGGTTCCTATGGGATTAGAGAGACTTTCATATCCTTATTGGTCACTATCGTTAGCAAAGATTCCAAATTTTATCAACTAGAATTTCCCTTCAAAGAAAAAGTTTCCAGCTTGATTCTGTTTCATTAAACCAAAGGCGCTGGGACCAACGGATTTGAGATCCAAGGTTTCATTTCCTCTCTCAATCTCGGGATGCATGACATCAAAGATGATTTGCAGAAACATAGGGTACATTAAGAACTTGTCCCTCTTATTTCCCTCAATGTTTAGAATCAATTCATGTAGGATAAACTTTGAAAATTTGAACTTAATTCCCGAGACTAAAGCTGCAATGGCTCCAGTGTTGAAAAGTGAGATCTCATTAGGTCCTGACCTCCTTCTGGAAATACAGCTCACAAACACATGAGCTAAATACTTCCATCAAGGTGGTAAGACCTTCTTGATAGTAGGAGGAAATGATCCTTCATAACCCATATGATCCATAATTTCTTGGATTTGCTCCAAATCATTTTCCATGGTAAACTCAGGCCTATCATTAATTTGTAGTGATTCTCGAATGAGATGTTTTGTGATTAAGATTTTCTTTCCTTGCACAGTGGCCTCAAGATATTTCTCATCTTTTTCATCTCTTTTAATAGTTGCGCTTCTCAAAAATTCTTTGATCAATATTTGATAAATCACTGGACCAATGGTGAAAGCAGAAACCAAACAACACTTTCTTAGACCATCAACAATGAATTTGAGATCGTTGTGGGCAGCCGGAGGATCTTCTAGAAAAATTGCTGAATTGTGCACCTTTGCAAACTCAAGATCTCCCATATTGATATGAAAAACACAAGCATAGTATTAGAAAACTTAAGAGATTTTTAATTAATAAAAAATATTTTTCAATTTTAGGTGCACAGTCATACACCTATATCCAGCCACACACAATGTGTGCAGCTGCAGACGATGTACAACCGTTCAAGGGTTCCAACTGTACAGTGCCATCTGCACACGAGTCCAGCTGCAACCAAATACGAATTCAATCGCACACGGGGTTGTGTAGCCGCATACGGCACCAGCCGCACACGAGGGAGTGTGCAGCCGCACATGGTCTAGCCGCACACGGCGTGTACGGCCGCACATGCACAGTCATAATTGAAACCTTCAATTGACGACCAGTTCAAGATCCATTTTACAGTTCTTAAGATTATATGGCCTCAATTACACAAAAGTTGATGGTTTTTGAAATTTTTAGAGAAAGAGAGAGGAGTAGCAGCTATGTGCGGTTGAACTAAGGAGGATGGAAAAGTGATTGCATTGACCGCACACTGAAAAATAAGGGCCCAATACTCAAAAGTATTTAAAAATAAAACTTCTGAGGACTAATTAAAAAGTAAAATAAAATAAAATTAAAAATAAAAATAAGAATAAAAATAAAAGTAAAATAAAATAAAATAAAAAACAAAATGATACTAAAATTTGAATTTAACCTAAATTTCACCTTTACATGAAATTAATATCCGTTTGAGATGTGGGATGAAAGTTGTTGGACAGTCATTCTGCATTTGTCAGAACCTCTCCTTTCATGAATAGATATGGTCGATCGCCAGTATTGTGGTCCACTTAAGCACGAAAAATTGTGACAAATTCTAGGAATGTTATCAGTAACCGGATAGATTGATCCTAAGTTACTAGATAAAAATTCCTAAGGACCATTTATCTGACGACGACCAAGGATATTGTTGTCCACCTAAATTGAGCAGTGAGATCTACAAACAATCTAGAATTGTTCAAATTTAAGATGTACTAGAACATGGTTCCCGCTTCCTGACATACCCCAGTAATCAAGAACTTCCAAGATACTCCTTAATTTAGGTGAGTAGACAATTATTATGCGAGAGGATAGGTTTAGATTATGAGTAACTAGAGTTTTAAAGAGATTTAGAAGTAGAAGGCTGCATATGCTGTGTAACAGATTGGATTGTTAATCACACAAAGGAGACAACATATGGCTAACAAATACAAAGAATTCCATAGATATATGTAACATCCCGAAATATCAAGAGTAGAGTTGAAGGGCTAAAAGAGTAAATTGGGAAAGAGTGACTCGGCGAGTCCATGTGCGGACTCGGCAAGTAGAGTTGCGACTTGGTCGCGTGTTAAGTGGCTGACTCGGCGAGTCAGTGTAATGGACTCGGCGAGTAGGCGCTGAGTGGAGAAAACCCTAATTCTCGGGGTTGAGCCTTATATAAAGATTACTATGTTTTCCTCCCAGCCTCTTTATCACCCCTTGAGCCCCAGAAAACCCTAAATCACGGAGAAGCACCATTGTTGAGTGGATTGGAGCTTGGAGAAGTAATGGTTGAAGGAATTTTGGGGAGATTGAAGGCTTGGAGCAAGGGGCTTTGCTTGGATTCGAATTGCATTGCAGTTGGGGCATCACTTGGAGGTAATATCTCGTTATTAACCTGTTGTTATGTTGTTTCTTCATTTTAGGGTTTGTGAGAAATTATCTATGGATGAAATGGGAAGTCTAGAGGTTAGATCTGAGGTTGCTACCTCAGATCTGGAAGGGAGAAGAATCAGAGAGCATGAAAGTCCCTGAGTTGGAGTGTTTAGTGAAGCTTACATGTCCCAAACCCTAACCCCAATGTGCAATCGGCTTAGATATCTTTGGATTCACGTAAAGTTTGCCACTTTACGTGATGGATGAGTGGTAGGAGACTAGATCTATGTTTTGGATCAATTGCATGGCCTGAGATGCTTCTGTATGGATTCAGACCGGTGGTACTCGACGAGTCACATGGGGCGACTCGACGAGTTGCTTGAAGATGGCCTGGAACTCGACGAGTTGGAAGAACAACTAGGCGAGTAGGTTGAAGATAGCCTTGGACTCGACGAGTCCATTTGGACTCGGTGAGTCTTGTCGATGAGTCCCAAATATTCTCTGGTTGAGTCGAGAATCGGTGAGTCAAGGGATGACTCTGTGAGTCGTGTGCGAGTTAGGTCGCAGATTGAGTGAAGATCTGATTATGGGAACTCGACGAGTCACAGGGTTGACTTGGCGAGTAGGGTCAGTCAGGGGTTGACTTAGACTGAGGACTTTGATTTCGACCAAGGGTTGGCCGATGACTTTTAGGGTTTGGTCAGCGATGTGGCCTTTGGGCCAAGAGAGAGGTAAAATAGTCTTTTACCCATAAGAGGGTGTTATGAGAGGATTAATTCTCGTCTCGAGAGTTATATTCATGAGAGTATTTGCCTTATGTGTTAGGCGGTGGCGAGTTCGAGATTCAAGTGTGGGGATATCTGCTTTCTGCTTGCCAGGTGAGTCTTCTCACTATACTTTACCTTGAGTAGGTAACCAGAGTTGTGTGATCCGAGTATTTGTATGTTATATGTACGTGATGTGTTGTACTGCATTATTTCTATGTGATTTATGATGTGCATGTTTATAGAGTTGGAACCGGAATGTTCCCAGAGTTAGAACCTGAGGGTTCACAGAGTTTGGGTGCACGGACCTATAGAGTTATAGCCTCGAGTGGCTAATATGTGTGATGTGTGGTATTTTGGGGAACTTACTAAGCTTCGTGCTTACAGTGTTTTGTGTGATGTTTTTCAGGTTTCTTTCAGTATCACGGGACGGCACCGGCTTGATTGTACACACCAGAGAAAGAGTCATATTTTGGAGGATCCTGGTTTTCTATGCAAGTGGAAATGGAGTCATGTTTTGTAAATCGACTATGAATGAGATTTTAAACAAGTGTTTCTAAAAATAAAATGATTATTTTAAATGAAAATTTTGTCTTGAAATTTACGGTGTTACAATATAAGATGCAGAAAATAGATTTGCATATGTTGCAGTCCAGGTCGGATCTTTTGATCACACAGAGGAGGTAACATATGACTAACAGTAAGAGAGAGAGAGAGAAATTTTTTTACATACCTACTTTATCGGAATTCCCCAGTTACTCCATCAATACCGGAATTAATGGAAATAATTCATACATCGAGGAAAAGTTAATTACAGTTATAGATACAGGTTTCTTTAATGTGACAGGTGGATTCTCATCTATATCTCCCTACTCAACCTACCCAAGTGTCATATTGTCAAGCTAAACAGAACTACCTAGGAGAAAATTTATCAAGTCTCTAGATTCTTTAAGTTCGTCTGAACCTATTCAAGTATGTTAAACTTTTCGTGCCTACCAGCGCATCGAACACAGAGCCTAGACAATTAAGCTTTCGTACCTTACACAGATTCAGATTGCCTGTTATCACTTTATCTTGATATCACTTCCCGTTATATCACTTCTCAGAAATATTTTTGATTTTTCTGTTTTTCTAATGTTTTTGGACTTTCTGATATTCTATTGTTTTGGGATTTTTTAATTTTCTACATTTTTTTTGGTTTTTGTTTATTTCTCCTCTAAATTTGTGCATGGAAGAGAATTAAATAATAATGCACAAATTTAAACTAACCTAAACAAAAATTAATCCTCAAAGCGATCATTTTTAAATAGTTTACTAGCACATCGAATCGAGCTTTGTTAAACAACTTTGTGAACAAATCCGCCACATTATTAGAAGTGGGAACTTGTTCTAGCCGAATGAGCGAGCGCTCATAGAAATATCTGGTAAAATGAATTTTGATGTCGACGTGCTTGGTTTTTAATGCTGAACCAGATTTTTATCAATTTAGATCACAACCTCATTATCACAGAATATAGGGGTTTCTTGAAAATTCAAATTGTAATCCGACAGCTGATGTTGGATCCATATGACTTGAAAACAGTGGGCATACAGAACTACATATTATCCTTCTGTAGTTAAGGTCGAGACAGTATGTTTCTTCTTGCATTGCCAAGACACCAACCTATCTTCGAGAAACTGACATCCGCCTGAAGTCGATTTCCTTTCAAGCTAACAACCACCATAGTTGTTGTCTGCAAAAGCATAAAGATCAAATTTGGAATTTTTCAGATACCAAAGACCCAGTTTTGGGTTGTCTTTGAGATACCGAAAAATTCTTTTAACAGTAATAAGATGAGACAGTTTTGGATTAGCCTGGTAGTGCGCGCATTAACAGACGACAAACATGATGTGTGGGCGACTTGCAGTCAGATACATCAGCGATCCAATCATCGATCTGTAGAAAGTTTGATCTACGGATTCGCCTTCAATATCAGGAGTCAGCAGTGGTCTCTCAGTCATGGGCGTTAAAGCAGGTTTAGCATCTCTGAACCTGAACTTCTCGAGAATATTATCCACATATTTGGCTTGATGAATTCGGATTCCGGTTGAGCATTGTTTGACCTGAATCCCCAAAAACATGGTCATTTCCCCCAATGAACTCATCTTGAACCTCTTTTCATGACGTCCTTGAACTCCTTGCAAAGCTTCGAAATTGTGGACCCGAGAATGATATCGTCCACATATATTTGAACAAGAATCTGGTCTACACCGACATGCTTGATGAATAGAGTCTGATCGATAGTTTCGTGGGAATAGCCATGGTTGAGCAAGTGTTGTGTGAGGGTAGCATACCAAGCTCTAGGAGCTTGATGTGGCCCATACAGCGCCTTGTCTAACTTGTAGACATGGTTAGGAAGTTTTGAGTTAACAAACCCAGGAGGTTGGTCAACATAAATCTCCTCCTTCACCTTGTCATACAAGAAAGCCGTCTTGACGTCGATTTGATATACGGTAAAGTTCATGTAGGAAGCATAAGAGAGGAAGATACGAATGGCCTCCAAGTGCGCCACTGGAGCATAGACTTCTCTATAATCAAGACCCTCATTTTTTCCGAACCCAGGGACCACCATTCTCACCTTATTATGTCCAATGACACCTGAATCATCTTTCTTGTTCCGAAACACCCATCTAGTGTCGAGAAATTTCTTGCCTTTAGGCAGGTCCACAACTTCCAAACCCTGAGCCTTTCGAATTGATTGAGCTCAGCATGCATGGCATCTACCCGGCTAGGATCATTCAAAGCCATTTCTACATTCTTGGGCTCTATTTGAGAAATGAAGCAAGAATAGAGACATGTGTTGACATCTCTACTCTGACTTCTCGTTTGAACTCCGGCGCCCATCTGTCCCACAAAGTT